CCCCCCCCCCCCCCCCCCCTCGTCCTTTAGTTGTAACTTCCACTCCACAACGACCGGCGTGTTTATAAAGAGAAGCTGGAATATTTCCCTCACACACAAAGAAAAGCTTTAAAATGTCAGTGTCTGTTGGCCGTGCCGCGGCATTCCTGAGCGCACGCCGTTGGTTGCCATGGTTTCCCTCCCCCTTCCCTTCCCTCACCTCTGGGTATTAAACGGAGACGTGAGGGGTGAGTCTTTTCTGCTGGACCGAACAGAAATGGGAATTTAGTTTGGAATCTGATGAAAAAAACACTTAATAAATCATGTTAATGTTCACATTATCTTAAAGTGTTAAATCAGAAAGTAGGGCCCTTTCTGCTGAAGCTAATGCTAATGCTAATGGCACATAATCAGTACTGTTGACCCATGTGAACACCCCCCCCCCCAGCATGTCTCTGTTTGGGAGTAAAAGCAGACTTTGCATGCAGACATACATTCTTCATGTGCACAAACTTCCAAATGGAAGATAAAGGTGCTTAAAAACCTTAAAAATCCTCAAAAGTTTGAATTTTTTTCAGGATTTTATCAAAGCGTCTCTCCTTTTGTTGGTTATTACTTCATTTATTTGCTTTAAAATGAGCCCGGAACAGAGAAAGGCTGCTCTACGACCTAAACCGAGGTTGTTGTTTTTTTTTCAAGAAGGTAAAACCGGATTTTTCCAGGTTTTTCAAGGTTTTTCAAGGTTTTTTCAGGTTTTTCAAGGTTTTTCCAGGTCCTCCAGCTTAAAGCAGAGTGCTGGAAAAAGCTGAGGTCCTCCCAGAGTTCCCAGGTTTTCGAAGCCTCCAATCAAATCCTTATTTTTGAGTAAAATGCCGGTTAAAGTGACGGACCCGATCAAAGTTTCGTCGGGATCTGTTGCTGTACATGCGAAAAAAGTCCCTTTTTTGGGGTTTGTTTAACTGCTTAAAACGCATTGGTTTGTTTAAAAGAGACCCGAATCACTCTGTGACACAGTTCTTCTGCTGTGGGAACATTTCAGTGGCTCTTTTTGCTGCTGAAGGAAAGTGGAGCGTGTCCTTTTTATCCTATATTCTGCAGCGAGATCAAAGTCGATGAATAAAAGAGCGTTTTTTCTTTTCCTATTTATAGCAGCAGTTTTACCATCCGGCTTCCAGTTGCCAGTTATTTCCGTTATCTGTCCCACAGATCACATGATACACATGTAGAAAGTCAGAAAATGTCCAGAAATGATGTTTACAGTCAGTTTGTGTGTCCAACTCCCCCACATCCAAGTCGGCCATTTTGATTAGGTCACCAACAGGAAGATCCCAGGCAAGAAAATCCTAATTGCTTCAGGGCAATATAGACATCAATTTAAAAATAGTGAAATGAATCTTGCAAACACTGAATTAAACTCTATCCATAATATTATGTTAGAATAGTGGATGTTAAATAGGTTTGTACAATAAGTCCAAACAAGTTTAACCAAAAAATATTTATTTCTCACAATTATGAAAGGTGGAGGGTTAGGGTTAGGGTCAGGTTTAGGCTCAGGCTCAGGGTTAGGTTTAGGGTCAGGGTTGGGTTTAGGGTCAGGGTTAGTTTTAGGCTCAGGGTTAGGTTTAGGGTCAGGGTTAGTTTTAGTTTTAGGCTCAGGGTTAGGATTAGGGTAAGGGTTAAGTTGGGGGTCAGGGTTAGGTTTGGGGTTAGGTTTGGGGTTAGGGTTAGGTTAAGGATAGGGTTAGGGTTAGAGTCAGGGTTGGGTTTAGGGTTAGGGTCTGGGTTAAGTTTAGGGTCAGGGTTGGGTTTAGGATTAGGACATCATTTCTCTTCCAATTTCTTCTTGACAGTAAAGTTCATTCCCACCTCAGAAAGCTGCTAGTCACATGACCTAATCAAAATGGCCGACTGCTTCTTCTCCTGGTTGCAGGTGCACTTTCCGGTTCCCGAGCACGAACATAAAGATCACGTTCACGGCTCTGTCCGGCGGGAAAAGGGCTCGGCGGGAGGCTCCGGAGTCCCCGGTGAAGGCCCAGATCTCCCCGCTCACCATCAGCATCCCCGACAACATCGCCCACCTCATGAGCCCGCTGCCCTCGCCCACCGGCACCATCAGGTAGGCCCGTCGCCATAGCAACACGTTCAGATCCACACCGATACTCGGGAAAATACTCGATACCACAAGGATAAAAACAAAGACCCCAAAATGTAACTGAGTTTTGACAGGTTAGTGTCTTTGGTTTCAAAGTTAGCTGTTACTTATGTTATGGGTTAGGGTTAGGGTTAAGGTTAATGACCCTAACCCTAACCATAAACCTAACCCTAATCTTAACCCTGAGCATAACCTTAGCCCTAACCCTAACCGTGAATCTAACCCTAGCCCTGACTCTAAACCCTAACCCTGAGCCTAGGCATACCCTAACCCTCCAGCCTTCATAATTGTGAGAAATAAATATTTTTTGGTTAAACTTGTTTGGACTTATTGTACAAACCTATTTGACATCAACTATTTTAACATAATAATATGGATAGAGTTGAGTTGAGTGTTTGCAAGAGTAATAGGGTTGTCACGATACTAAAATTTTCAACTCGATACCGATACTCAGGAAAATACTCGATACCATTTTCGATACCACAAGGATAAAAACAAAGACCCCAAAATTTAACTGATTTCATTTCAAACTGACCTGTTACTGATGTTATCGTGACACTTTAATGACACTAATCATAACCCTAAACTGACAACTAACTAAGTAGATAAATAACTTTAAACTGTAAAGCATGCTCTAAAAGGTCGGGACCTGATCTGAAGTGCAAAAAGCTGAATCGGGACCTCCCTAGTTTCAGGCCCTGTGTGGGTCGTGAGTGGAATCCCGTCGGCCCGAGAAGGACCCGGTCAGACTGGAGTCGAGGGCTGACCTTGGCAGGCCCCCTGTGATCAGCTTAGGCTCAGAGAGGGAGGCGGCTCCATCTCAGCCCCGTAGATCCTCTCAGCCCTGATCTCCAGCAGATGGCTGAAGGAGACTCCCGTCCCCACAGGCCTCAGGTGTTCACACCTGAGGGTTCTTCTTAAAGGAGACATATTATACCCTATTTCAACAAGTTAAACTAGTTCCCTGGTGTCCTAATGGAATGTTTGTGATAGGGTGGTCACGATACTAAAATTATCAACTCGATACCGATACTCAGGAAAATACTCGATACCATTTTCAATACTACAAGGATAAAAACAAAGACCCCAAAATGTAACTGAATTTTGACAGGATAGTGTCTTTCATTTCAAACTGACCTGTTACTGATGATATTGTGACTGGTGGCCCACATTAATAACCCTAATCCAAACCCTAACCCTACAGCCTTCATAATTGTGAGAAATAAATATTTTTTGGTTAAACTTGTTTGGACTTATTCTACAAACCTATTCAACAATACACTATTTTAACATAATATTATGGATAGAGTTTAATTCAGTGTTCGAAAGATTCATTTCATTATTTTTAAATTAATGTCTATATTGCACGTTATTATTAGCCATTAGCCGAAGCTAGCAGTTCAAGGCTAACGTCTTATTAATGACCATAAACAACGTAAAAAAATACATAAATAAATCTGAGAGAAGGGGGGCAGCGACTTTTGACAACCCTAGTCTGTGACAAGCTTTGGTCAGAATCCCATAAGGATGAAGCCCAATAGCAGTTCAGTCCCCCTGCCTAACCCTTACCCTAACCCTAACCCTAACCCTAACCCTAACCCAAAACAGCCCCGTTCAGAGCGCTCGCTTTGGAGTGCCTGTCTCTTTAAATGCAAATGAGACACAGGCAATCCACCCACTTCTTCAGGGAGGTGTGCCCACGTCGGCACGCTAACGCTACCATGCTAACGCCACCACCCTAACGCTACCACGCTAACGCTATCATGCTAACGCTACCATGCTAACGCTACCACGACGTCTGCCACAGATAGGCGGAGTAAGCTGCGGTTTAGTTTTGTTTAGTTTTTTTAGGACCCCCATTAGCTGCCAAATAAATGGCCACTAGTCTTCCTGGGGTCCTCACATGAAGAAATTATATTACATTATAAACAAATCCTAAAAAATAAAAATAAAAATCACAGTAGAAAAATAATAAAAGCATAGACAAGAGTAGAACTATACAACATATACACACAGGTCAGTTCATCTTATCATCTGCTGGAATATTATAATGAGCTAGAGCTAATGAGGTCAGAAACTACCCACTCCTGAAACCTCCTGATTTATCTCCTGGATTCAGACTGAGGCGGCCCACAAAAACATGACTGAGTCACCCTTTTCTGCTGATAGGCCCTCCACAGTCCCAAATGTACAGAATCAAATGATTAAAAACTTGGTTTTGCATAATATGTCCCCTTTAAAGGAACACGGTGTAGGAATGTCTCCAATCTAACGGTGAAGTTGATTGATTGATGAATACTTTAATGATCTCCCATGGAGTATCTTTGTTCTTTTTCAGAACAAAGATAAATTGTATTTTACATCCTAACAAATCTGCTCTCTAGCGCCTCTATTTCCAAATGGGTACCAGGGCTACGCTAGCCGTCAGGCATCAGGAAATAACGACAGCATGACTTCCACATTGTCCAGTTTTGTCTCATTTCTTAGAGCTGGTTTCAGTCCTGTGACTCTGAAGGAAATAGGGTTGTCAAAAGTATCAATAATAAAATGTTGATGCTATTCTTTTTTTAATTGCTGGATGCTTTTACATTGTTTAATGTTTTCAGGCCAGCTGTTCCAGAGCTTCACTCTAACGCTAATTGATAAACTAAAGCTTATTTTTGTTGTTCGAACAATTTCAAAACGTACTTCTGTTGCTGTTTTTCATTCCAAAGCATCAAACAATATGGTTGTTCTTTTGCAAATGTATGTCCTGTCTGTTGTCACCTTGTGTACTTTAAGCCGTATCATTTGGTTTCACTTTTATTCAAGTCTCCTCATGCGTCTGCTCACACAGGTTCCTTACAGGTGTGTCACCCAAGACAAGCTCCCTTTCTCTTGTCCTGTTCTTTACATTTATGCATTCACATGAACTCATGATTGCCACCTAGTGGACATGAGCATAATTCAATCATCACAGTCTGTTTTATGGTGTTATCATTTTCTTTTTGAAATTTAATTTTCCTCTTAGATTATATTTTCCAGGGTCCTAATCTTTTATCTAACCCTAACCCCCCCCCCCCCGTTTTTGTTCCCGTTTCAGTGCTGCTAACTCGTGCCCCTCCAGTCCGCGGGGGGCCGGATCCTCAGGGTACCGGATGGGCCGCATGGTGAGCTCCGCCGAGCTGCAGCTCATCAGCGACAACTCTCAGCCCGACAACGACAAAGAGGCCTCGGGAGGGGACAGCCCCAAGGTGAGAGCCCCCCCCCCCCCCCCCGCCCCCCGGAGGCCGCCGTTTCCCAGGAAAGGGCCCGCCGCCGTCCTCCTCCACAGAGATGCAAGTCTTTGAAAAAAAACGTCATCAAAATGTCAAAGAATTCCAATCGATTTTATGCTTTTTGTGTGGATTTCTAACCGTCTTCCCCTGAATAAAACAAATGTAGGAGGTAAAAAAAAAAAGAGAGAAAAACCGGCCGAGGCATCTAGGGATGGGGATCCAAACCCGGTTCTATAAAGGACCTGGTTCCACTTTTTTCAAAATCCGAAAATCAATAACGTTTGGGCTTATCGATACCACTATCGAGTCTGGTCGTTTTTTTTTTTTTCCCCGGAGGTCCTGTGTAGTTAGCTTGAAAAGTAAATAAAGTTTCAGACGTGCTGCGTGATGATGTGTTCAGATTGGCTCAGTAAAACGACAATTAGGTTATCATGATGCGTTCAAGTGTAACGTAAAGAAAAGGGAAATTGAGATTTTGGCTAGAAACATGAGTAATACAGTTGTATATTAAATTGTATGTCAAACAATTCCGATTAATTTTATGCTTTTTTATGGATTTCTAACCATCTTCTCCTGAATAAAACTAATGTAGGAGGTAAAAAAAAAAAGAGAGAAAAACCGGCCGAGGCAATTAGGGATGGGGATCCAAACCCGGTTCTATCAAGGACCCGGTTCCACTTTTTTCAAAACCTGAAAATCAATAACGTTTGTGCTTATCGATACCACTATCGAGTCTGGTCGTTTTTTTTTTTTTCCCGGAGGTCCTGTGTAGTTAGCTTGAAAAGTAAATAAAGTTTCAGACGTGTTCAGATTGGCTCAGTAAAACGACAATTAGGTTATCATGATGCGTTCAAGTGTAACGTAAAGAAAAGGGAAATTGAGTTTTTGGCGAGAAACATGAGTAATACAGTTGTATATTGCTCTAATTATTTTAGAATATATAATTAAACTACTGATGCCAACATTTATTAAAAATTACATTTAATTTAAAATACAATTATTTATTTGCTAAATATTTTCCTAATCACTAAAAACATGATGAAAAGTGACAGTAGACAATACATTAACCAACAATTGTGAAAATTTATATATATTTTTTAAACCAAAAGAAGACATTTCTTCAAAATGTAGGACATTTCTTCAAATATTTTTTTTCCCCACTTCCTTTCTGTCTGAGAAAATTTTTTGGAGGACCTTGTAATGATTTGTTTTTAATTATAAGTGAAACTATATCTACCATTTGTTTCCCATCAATTTAGATGGTGTTCAGCTCACCATTAAAGGCTAGAAACGTTTTTGTTATGCTCACTTATTAAGCAATAAAAGCAATACCAGTTCTGTTAAAAACATATCGTCGCATCGTCTTTCCACCAAATAACAGAAAAGTATGGATAGTGCTATCGATAAAGACTCGGATCGATGAGGAGTATCGATATCAATAAATATTAACGATCCCCATCCCTAGAGGCATCTCAGGGAGTGGAAACCTGAGTGTCCGTGGGCTGGACAGGAGCAAAAAGAGACGGAAACAGGTGATGAGTTTTTCCATTTTTCCCCCTTTAGGACGACTCCAAACCTCCGTACTCCTATGCACAGCTAATCGTCCAGGCCATAACGCTGGCCCCCGACAAGCAGCTCACCCTGAACGGCATCTACAACCACATCACCAAGAACTACCCCTACTACAGGACGGCCGACAAGGGCTGGCAGGTGGGCAGAGATGGATAAAGTACTGGAGAAGAGGAGTGGAGTAGAAGTACAAGTATTATATATAAAAATGACTTGAGTAAAAGTTGAAGTGTTCTTTCAACTCCATATGTAAGAGGAAGTACAGAAGTACTCCATTTTGTTTTTACTGAAGTATTGCATGTAGAAATATTTCAAAAATTGCTGCTCAAGTATTGAAAGTACACGTTTAAGTAGAAGTACAAGTACTACATAAAAAATTGACTTGAGTAAAAGTGTCCTTTACCACCAGACTTAAGTGGAAGTACGGAAGTACTGCATTTTCTTTATACTCAAGTATTGCAAGTAGAAGTATTTCAAAAATTGCTACTCAAGTTTCGAAAGTACAAGTTTAAGTTAAAGTACAAGTCAGAATCAGAATAAGGTTTATTGTCAAGCAGGTTTTTCACTTACAAGGAATTTGCCTTGGTGTTTGGTGCACAACACTTCTATGAGAAGCAAGGAAGGACATACAATGTAGAAATAAAAATATAGAACAGAAATGATAAAACTAAAAAGTACAATCTTTAAAAATATAGATCTGAACGTACAAATGAACAATTGAAATGTGCAATGTTGAATGTCCAACGACAGACCAGAAAATGCTGAACGTAGCATTGTGTATATTAGTGGGGTAGAGG